ACGATGACCCCGCGCCCACTGCAGACGGCTGACGGCGGCGGCGGCGACGGCGACGGCGGCGGGCTCCACTAGGTTACCCCGCGTCCCGCAGCGTCCGTTCGCCACAGACCTTTAGCCTCGATTCAACTATACTTTATTCCTCATTTGTTGCTGTTGCATGTCGGCTCCATATAAGATTAATATTCTTTGGATTACATTTTGTATTAATTCTAAAGTGCGACCATTTTATGATTGTGGTGGTCACGCGAGGATTTGGCCTCAGGGATGCCGGGGAACTCGAGAGAGGGCGGTCGCCGAAGAGGGAAGGTGGAATGTCGCTAACAGAAAGTTTAAATTGTACTCACGTTATAGTAGATGTTGGAACTGCTCACCGCAGCTCTGACACATTCTTGACCTCTTAGTAAGTACTGCAACTAGTATGATCCTGCTACTATATTCTTAAAAGTCTTACATTGAAACTTTAAATGCTATTCACGCTGTCACATCAACGGCCGACAACGTTTTGCCAAATCTCGGTATTCACCTCCGTTTCCAGCTCCTCTATCACTGTTTAGTGACAGCGCCCCTCGTACCACTGCGTTCTCCGCAACCGAGGCCCCTCCTCTCCAGAAAGTCCGAGCCCGGAAACTCGCTAGCTGGCTTGTTTGCCTGCTTGTTTGTCCGTCCCCTGGTCTGCTCCAGAGAAGCCTTCGCATCGTCGTCCGGAGATAAGGCGGCACGAGGAAAAACAGAGAAAATAAACCGTATCTTTCAAACCGACGAAAGGAATATAAAGCAGGTAACGTTCTTGATCTTGACGCTACTTAGCTGCCGGGAAAAGGGCCTCGCCCCCGAAACATAAAGGCGAACGAGCATTTGGGTCATAGCGGCGCAAAAAAGCCCACTTTCTGCAGTTGCCCCTCCGAGCCTTTGCAAGACTAACTTTAATTGGTTATTACGAGGCATTATGATCCAACTGGCAAAAGGATGCGTATAACAAGGAAAAATTCCACGAAATTATACTTCATCTCTTCCCAAGAGAAGCTGTCTAGAAGAAGGATAATTACGATAAAATAAAGAGTGCGAGAAGCTTTAAAAGGGCGGAGAGCGCACGTTTTTCAGCGATTACATCAGCTCATATATTCGATAACAAGAGCGAGCGTTTAAGTTCATTAATTCGAATTCAAGTAATAACCACATCTCCTTTGCACGAAGTTGAAGCAGAGACGTTCACCAGAACGTCGATTGTCGTAATCAGCCCAATACTGGCGGCGCGCTGAAGAAAAATGCTGCTTTCTTTTGCGTGTTAATCTCCCGCGAGAGAGCCCTGCTTCGCATGGTCCGGGCAGTCGCCGGCAAGCGCAAATTTACATTCCAATTAAAGGGCGCCTGGTAAACAGGGCGTGGGTCCACGCCGGCGTATCGGGCCATCGCCGCCGCCGGGGACAGACGGCGCCTGCGTGCGTGCGTGCGTGCGAGTAAGGCCATTGAGGCGTTTCGCGGCGCCGCCCCCTCAAGGGGCGCACAGGCTGGGACGCTGCGAGGGCGGCGAAGGGGCGATGGACGGGAAACGCAAGGCGTAATGAGAGGGAAGAGAGTGGAGGGAGATTGGTTGGGAAAATGATCGCGAGGCCGGGGCAGGCGAAAAGTGCAGAAACGTTTTCGGTTCATTGTAAAACGTCAGGCGAAGCTCAAATCTGCGGTCAGTTAATGATTCACGATGCCGCGGCATTTGTTTGGGTCAGAGACTCTTTAGCTGCTTTCATAAATATAAAAAGAATGAAATTTACCTGTGCCTATGGAATTTCCATTTCTATTCATGTATGTTGCGGAATTCTTCATATTACAATTATTGCTGCACTGCTGAATCTGTAAAAATTCGAGTTGCGTAGAATGATGGATGCAGGGAAAGTCGGTGATGTAAAAATAGCACGAGGAAATAGTATAATAAATGGTTCAACAGAAAAAAATACGAAACTGCAGATTGAAAAGATATTTGTTGATAAAGTTTCTGCATGAAACATCTACTGTTCATGTCTTTGTTCAACTAACACGCTCTTCTTAATGACAGTGTTTTTTGTTATTTTAATTTTTCTAACAACTTGCTCTTTGTTACAGGAATATCGTGTATTTTTAGTTTTTTCGTGATATTTTTACCACTTTTTTAGTATTCAAAACCATATTGAAGCGAAAGAAGGTAACTATTTTAAATAAATAAATTTTAAGGTGATAATTTCCTGAGAAAGATACATTCAATAATGTATCTTTTTATTTTGGCCTAGAAAGCACTAAAATTTTCCAAAATTATAAATACTTTGGCAATACCTGGTATTGGGATGTGATCACTTTAACTTTTAAGCTACCTAGCGACGCTTCCTTGACTTGACTGCGACTGACGTGACTTGACTACCCAGCGGCCTCTACAGGGTGCTGGGTGTGTAATAAAAGGAGGATTATTCCTATAATCTTAATTAATGGAGGATTTACTCCGAGGTGCGTTCGACGCTCTTAGGAGCTAGGAGACGCGTTGCGAGTACTGACGAAACAAAATTAAAAAACAATGACTACGTAGTAGGTGGTGTGGTCATATAAAACATTCACAATGTCAGTGCGTCATTCAATTGTAGACGTGTTTAAAACATTGTGGGTTAATGACTTAACTCTGATGACCGGTCTGGTACCCATATCAGTCCAGATACAAAACAAAACAAGGACCGAGGGGGAAAGTGAACAAAAACGAGAAGTAACGTGGAATCTACCAATATATTGATTTATTAAATCATACCGCAGTTGGAGGAAAATAACACAGAGTGTCTCTTTGAAACAAATTGGCTGAATGGGATTAATGAAATCATCGCACCAGTTGATCGTCTCATTAAGATTGCAAACAAGGAGTGTTCGTTATACTCCGCATGCGTGCCATGCTCAATCCCGAGCGCATAATTGGATGGAGGCGAATACTTACAGGTTGTAGTGCACGTCGGCCATGTTGCTGCGGTACTTGAGCGCCATGCGGAACGCCCACTCCGCCTCGGCGATCTTCCCGCGCGAGCTCAGCACGAAGCCCAGGTTCCCGTACGCTGCAACACGCAACACCGCGCCCGTCAGTGCATGCAGGAGCGTGCCTCGCGTCGCGCACCGCTTGTTCATACAGCCCTTGTGTTTTTGCGGTTCCCCCCCCCCCTGCGCGACCTATAGCCTAACAGCCTCACTTGCATGCACTCTTAGGGACTTTACATGCAGCGCTCTAATAACTCACACTGCAAACGTTGTACTCATACGTCACGCAATGCATCGACTTAAAAAAAATGTAGCTATTTTCACAAAGTGGGTGCTTTACTCCTTCAAACTGTGATTGAAAACTTTCGGAACTTGTGAAATTTGACATTCATGTACAATTGTATTTAAGCAGAAACGGAAGGTCCGTATACGGTTATTCCGCATTAAGGGGATTTTCAAGTTATGAGACAGCGACAAATGCATATGTTTAGTAATACATTTTTCTTAGCTTTCAATTAATTAGCTTAATAGCTTTCAATTAATAAATTTGAATAATAGTTGGTCCATTTACTCGTTTTAGAGAGGTTTCAAGTTCCAATTCTTCACATTTCTTTTTAAGGTTGGTTTGTTAGCATTCATGAGCCAAACTTTGCTGGGATATAATGTTCAATAGTAACTAAATGTAATCGCTAAATCGTGCATTAAAGCGCAAGCTATACTGCGTAACTAAATATTATTTGTTGGTAAACACTAGATATAACGAGCGGTTCTGCTCCTTCTAATAGCTCAAAGAAATATTACTGTCACTTCAAAAGCCATGTTCCTGAGATCTCTTTTCTCTTATAATTTTATTTCCATTATCTGCACATTACGAAGGGGTGTATGTGTTTGTGTGTGTGTGAATGGGGGAGTACTCGGAGGTCCATTAAATAACGTTTGTTTCTTCTTCATTTCAATATTTTTGTAAATTTTAAAATCAACGATATTGTCTACGATTTTATCAGAATAATAAAATTTACCACGCATTTTTGCAACATTTTCAATTATTATAGCATCTTTGACTGTTGATTACAAATAGCGACTATTAAGACCAACTGCCCGTTCAGAATTAACTTTAGAAATATATGTATTTCGTCTAAGTGTGATATAATTTAATACATTATTATGTTATCAACATACATCGGCCTTTATTTGTCACAAAAATACTATGTTTTATCAGTAAATAGAAATCTTGATGCGAGAAAGTCGATGTAAGTCAACATGTCTTTCATATTCAGAACCAGAAGTTGAAAAATTATTTTGTTTAAATGAATGTTCATGAATATTATTAGTAACATCCATTTATTTACTGAAATCGGAATATATATAAAAATAACATTGTAAGAGGTTTCTCATCAGCTCCCTCCCCCTTTATAAAGCACGTGACTATATACACAAGTTGGTATTTATAGGGTTAATGTGCCAAACGCCCCAAATTTTCTTGAGTGACCCGATCGAGCTGCACGTGAATAGCGAATAGTGCCCCTCTGCTAGCAAATAATCAGCAGGGGCGTTTTGCGGAGGCATCCCTAATGAGGCTACACGCCTGGGGCAACGGAGCACGTGACCCTAATCAAGTCGTATCAAACGGACTCGAGAGGGCGGCCGCCAGGGGCGCGCAGGGGCATCGATTGGCCGGCGGCGAGGGCGCAGGGGCGGGATGACGGAGGGCCGCAGGGCGCCGCGGGCCGGCGGAGGGCGGCGGAGGGCGGCGAGGACACGAGATGGAGGCCAACGCCACAAAGATGGTCAGAACCACAAGGCTCCATCTCATGAAATTTTACAGAACATTTAGAATGTTTGAAAGAGTGCAATAATGAAACACAAAGATGCACGCGAAGGTTTTCTATCAGTCGGATTTGAAAACTGTTTTAAAACTTATAGATTAAACAAGAAAAAATCAGAGGGAACCTTTGCACGCTGTACGTAAAATAATGAGAGAATGAAAAATGATTGGATATAAGAAATGTAATAATGAAAAATAATAATAACAAATGTTGGCTGGAAAACGAAAGTCTGAAGTATTTTCTGAGAATGCCAATATAAACGAAAAGGAATAGAAGAAGAAGAACAACAACAACACGTAAAAGAAGAAGAGGAAGACGTTGAAAGGACAAGAAAACAGAAGAAAGAAGAGGGTGAGAAGCAATCAAGAAGAACGGAGTAGAGCGGAAAAGAGAATGGTGCAAATTCAAGTCGGAAATAAAATATAAGTAAGACGTGTGGATTGCAACTCGCAGAGGAAAGATATGGAACTGTTTTGCTGGATTGCTAAACCCAAGTGGGTGTGAAGGCTGTGAAAAAAGAAGCGGAAGGAGGAATGTAAGGATAGCGACAATAAGAAGGCGAAAAGACACAGTAAATAATGCCAATGCTGGAGTAAAATAAGAAGGCAACTAAATTAATAGTGGCGAAAGCGTAGCAAAGAGAGCATGATATGGCGACATAGTGGCACACTCCTGAAGGCTTTGGATAAGTGCAGGAAGGGCCGCGAAAGCCCAAAGACGCCAAAGCCTGTGAGACGACAGCACGTAAAAGAGCTGCAGGAAGGGCCGGCGCCGAGGAGGGCGAAGGGAGGGCGAAGGGAGGGC